ATACTGACTGCAATTCCTTAAAGGCGAGTCGCACAAAGGCTGAACTGACACCACGAGTACACCGATGGTGGTTGTTGTATCGCAAAATTCAGAGAAGCGGCAAGACTAGTTGCTTACCAGTGATTCCGAGAGCTTTTAGGTGGTCGGTCATTAATCATGTACACGAGGCTATAATGCATCTTGGCTGGCAGAAAACTCTAAACAAGGTCTATGAACAATATTGGTTTGAAGGTATGTCGAAGTACGTTAGAAAGTTTGTGGAAAACTGTATAACCTGTAAGCTCTCCAAACCCTCAACAGGCAAAGTACAAATGGAACTGCACCCCATTCCCAAGGTATAAATCCCCCTCTTCCAATGCTCGCTCTTCCCTCGCTGGGAACGCCTACTTCCAGGCTCTCCCGCTCTCCCGCCTTCCCACGCCCGGGATCTCTCCACAGCGCTCATTAGTTTTAAGTTTAGTTCTCATTGTAATCTATACGAAATACATCGCCCGGCCGGTCCGCGCTAATAACGAAAAGTTCCAGTGCGTTCTCATTTAGTTCCATACGTCGCGATCGCAAAGTGTTTATCTCTCCCCCACAGCTTGCCACCGGCTATTTTGCACCAAGCCGCAACGCCGACGAAGCTGCCTTCAACTCGAAGAAATACTTGCGACGCCCCCCACCAAACATTTTGGTCCTTCGAGCCGGATTGCTCCACCAGATAAGTGCCACTTATTATTTTTTATTAACTGCCGGTCGACAGTCAGCCATTCGAAAACATAATTCGTTTGACTTTCTGTACGATTTGTCTAAAATCCAAGTCCGATTTAATCCGACAACGGCAGTTAGTAAATTACATTTCCAATTCCGTCTTCTATTTCTTCGTCTCCTTTAACGTGCGGCCATATTGTCTATTTTCCAATTCCCTTTCTTGTGCATATTGATGTACAAGTTTCATATTCACATTTGGCCGTACATCCAGTAAAAATACATCCAAAATTAAATCGAAGAAATTGCAAAATATTAATCTAAATTAAAGTGTGCAAATAAAAAGTCAAGCGTACAGTGAGAAAGAAAAGTCAGTGAACAGTGAAAAATAAATCAAATTCAAAAATTAAAATTCAATTAATTTCCCACAAAAATTAAGTGTTCCGCCAATTTAGGCCCACAAACAGTGAGACTGATTTTTTTTACTGTATATCCGCTGTGACAAATATTTGCATACATAATTCAAAATCCAAATACAGTCCACAATAAATCGAAAATACACAACACATACCCGCCGGCAAAATTTAAAATAAAAATTTTCCGCCATCTTGATTACCATATACTCCACATCTTATATACATATTTATTACATATAATATACATATTACATAATCCACATATATTACATCCATATATTACACACATATTACTTCCATACTCCCATACATATTATTTCTATGAAAACACCCAATCCCGAACATCGAAGTATTTCCGTCGGCCATAAATATATATATTAAATAAATTCCCAAAGCCGACGTGAAATAACTTTTGGGTCTCAGTGTGCTCTTTATTTCCCCTTCAACATACATTCACACATACATACATACGAATTCCCCAAATTCCCGCGCATTCCAGCATTTCTCGCACATAGCCCGCAAAGGGGCTTTATGCACGAGTTCATTTTTGGGCATTTGTGTTATCCAACGATTAAAGCGCTCTTTATTCCGAGCCATTCCAAATAAATTCCAAATAAATAAAATAAAGTAAAAAACCAAAAAAATAAATACCAAGCTCAATTCTAATAAACTTAAATAAATACTGAGAGTTAAAAAATTAAAATTAAATTTACAAAATCCCTCATCGCTAGAGTTCCAAAAAAAATTAAATAAAATACTGTCCACATCCCAGAAACCAGTGGAAACAATCTATTAATATTGTTCACGGTTTGCGTCCGAATCCATTAGTTACCGCGTCCATTCCAGTATTTTTATTTATTTATTGAGTTTGGTATATCCATAGGTTAGGTTAGGTTAGGACGGCTGCTAGACTATAGCCTGGCACACTTAGACCTCTGTGGGTCCATTGTGGTACCGTATGATCTCTATTTTTGGGTCCCCTATCCGTTAAGGGTCAGCCTGTAGGTTGGTCGATCAGCAAGTCCCCCATCCGGAGGATTTAATAAAAGAGCTTAGACTCTTCAGATTAATCTGCGAAATTTCGGTCAGGTCATTTATGAAAGGATATCCTAAGTGTTTCAGTCTAAGCCTGCATAGGGCTGGGCATGAACAGAGTAGGTGTTCCACCGTTTCCTCTTCTTCCTCATCCCTGCAGCTTCTACAGAAGTCATTTTTAGGGGCTTTTAGCCTGCCGGCGTGTGCGCCAACGAGCCAGTGGCCTGTCAGTACTCGAATTAGCATGCCACACTCTGTGCGGCTGAAATTCAGTAGTTCTGATGTTTTCTTATTGTTTATTGCAGGCCATGTCTGGTGAGAGATTCGGCACTGCGGTGTGTTTTGCCAATTGGTGTTGGCTAATTTGCAGAAATGGTTTTTAATAATTAGCTTACAGGTAGCCAAAGGCATGCCAACATTCTCCTTTCCTGGAAGGAGAGGTATGGTGGTGCCTTGCCTGGCTAGCTCGTCTGCTATACAGTTGCCTACGATATCCCGGTGACCCGGAACCCATATAAGGCTGACAGTAAACTGACTAGCCATCTCGTGAAGAGATTTGCGACAGTCTGCTATTGTTCGGGAGTTTGTATTCGTCGAGTATATTGATTTAATAGCCGCTTGGCTATCACTATATATGTTTATGTGCCTGTTCTGGGTGTTTAAGCCCCTTAAACAGACGAGTGCTTCCATTATAGCATACACTTCCGCTTGGAAGACACTGCAGTGGTCAGGAAGTCTGAATGACTGCCTGATCTCTAATTGCTCGGAGTATATGCCTCCACCTACGTGTCCGTCGAGTTTGGAGCCGTCTGTATATATACAGATTGCGTCTATTGAGCCCGGTCGGCCCCGATCCCATGCTTCCCTACCTGGGATCAGAGCTTCGAAGGGCGTGTGTCTGTATTCACGGGTTTTACATAGATCCGTTTTTGGCGGGATCAAATTGTCATGCTGAAGAATCTTAGCGTGACCATACAGTTGGGATTTCCATTGCCCCGTATCCCTTAGTCGAATGGCTGCCGATTTCGCCCTTTCCATGCCTGATAAGTCCAGGCTCTGGAGGTTCAAGATCGCATTCAGCGCTTCGTTTGGGGTAGTTCGAAGGGCTCCACTAATACACAAAGCCGCCATGCGCTGTACTTTGTTAAGGGGAGTTAGGATACATTGTTTGTGTAGAGCGGTCCACCACAGAGTCACTCCATATAGTAGGATTGGCTTGACTACCGCTGTGTATATCCAATTGACGATTTTAGGGGACATACCCCATCTAAGCCCGATTGCTTTTTTACAAGAGTAAAGTGCAATGGTCGCTTTCTTGGTTCTCTCTTGGTTGTTTAAGCCCCATTTAAGACGCTTATCTAATACTAACCCCAAGTATCTTGCGTGATCGCTAAAAGAGAGATTACAGTTGTTTAAAGTGGGTGGGTTGAGTTTTGGGATTTTGTATCTATTTGTGAAAAGGACTAGTTCCGTTTTTGAGGGATTTACCCCAAGTCCGTTTTTTGTAGTCCATTCCGATAGTATCTTTAGTTTTGCGGTCATAAGATCGCATAGCGTTTGTGGATACTTACCATTAAAAATGATAGCGACATCGTCTGCGTATGCCACTATCTTACAGCCTCCTCCTTCGAGAATCCGCAGTAGTTTATTTACCGCGATATTCCATAGGAGGGGTGAAAGTACACCTCCTTGCGGAGTGCCTCTGTTCACTAGTCTAGTCTGGGTAGAGGTCCCTAGTGTGGCCGTGACCAGTCTGCTTATCAGCAATTTGTGGATCAGCCCCACCAGCGGTGGCTCAACCCCTAGTTCAGTGAGGGATTCTGTTATTGCCGTGGGAAGCACGTTATTGAAAGCTCCTTCTATGTCAAGGAAGGCGATCAAGGTGTATTCTTGTATACTGAGTGATTTCTCGATGTTGCTTACTACCAAGTGTAGCGCCGATTCGGTCGATTTACCTTTGGTGTATGCGTGTTGCGCCTTTGATATCTGCGTCGGGTCAATGATGTCTCTGATGTGTAGACCAATCAGTCTTTCTAAGATTTTTAGCAGGAATGATGTCAGACTTATCGGTCTAAAATCCTTCGCTGTAGTATGGGTGGCCTTCCCTGCTTTAGGGATGAAAACGACTTTCGTTTCCCGCCACGCTGTAGGTAGTTCTCCTACTGCAAGAATGATCTGGAAAATTTTTCTCAGCCAGTTTGTAGCTAGCTGTCCTGCTTGCTGAATTTGTGCTGGTGTTATATTGTCCGGTCCCGGCGATTTGTACGGTTTAAAACTATGAATGGACCAGTTTATATTACGGTCTGATAGTAGGAGGTTTAAGTTTATTCCTTCTCCAGTGTGTCTTCCTGGGGGATGTCCTGTTTGCAGGCTCCCTGGGAAGTGAGCGTCTAGGAGTAGGTTTAGGGATTCTTCACTAGAGTCCGACCATGATCCGTCAGCCTTTTGGAGATAGCCCAACGATACGGCTGTCTTAGAAAGTATCTTTCTGAGCCTTGCGGCATCCGTTGTCTTTTCAATATCCGAGCAGAAGTTCTGCCACGCAGTTCTCTTCTCTTTTCTGATGGCCTTTTTGTATGTGGCTAGTTCCTTTTTGTAGCTTTGCCAGCTAATGTCCTCATTTGTAGCTTTCGCTCTGTTGAACAGGCTTCTGCATTTGGCTCTGAGGATTGATAATTGCTGGGTCCACCAAGGAGGTTTTTTCTTTCCCCTTGGTTTCCCCAGCGGGCATGCAGCTGTGAATGCCGCGTTGCATGCTTCTGTGAATTTGTTTACTATATTATCTAGCTCCTGAGTGCAAAGAGTGCTGTCTGGTGGCTCCCTGGGGAGGAAGCTCGATAGAATTTCTTTGTATTTTTTCCAGTTTGCCCGCCTGGGGTTGGCAAAGCTGACCGGCGCAGGTGACACTAGAGACAAAGTTGTCTCTATAAACCTGTGATCTGAGAATGAGTGCTCGTTGGAGACAGCCCAGTTTGTGACTGTGCTTACGAGTGAATCTGATGCCAGGGTTAGATCTATGATCGTTTGGCACGTTTTTGTTATGAAAGTAGGGGTATTGCCCCTGTTACAAAGAAATAAGTTCGAATTTAGAATGAAATCAAATAAAGACTCACCTCTGTCGTTGTTGATAGGGCAGCCCCACTGGGTATGGTGGGCATTTGCATCGCATCCTATCACCAAACCTTTATTAAGCTCTTCACATTCTTGTACCAGTCCTCTGACTAGCGCGTCTGGGGGTTCTACCTTTTCAAAAGCCATGTAGGCCGATAGCATCCTTATGGAGCCGTTTTGCAGCTCCAGGCTTATTGCCGTGTTGTCTCCGTTGCTGTAATTGCGAAGCAGAAATGTACTAAGATGCCGTTTGGCTAAAATACAGGTTCGAATTTTACCTTGTTTGGGGTCAAGCATAAGCTTGTAGTCTTTTGTTCCTAGCCCAGCAACCTTGCCTCCTGCTATCCAAGGTTCCTGAACTAAGACCACGTCGGCTTCGCCTTTGGCAAGGCGAAGCAATAGGGCAGCGGACGCTGCTTTACTGTGGTGTAGGTTGATCTGCAGGAGTCTTAGCGACATCCCCAGCTGCAACCTCCACCACAGTAACGTCGGCCTCCGAATCGCTCAGGTCCACTTCTTCGATTGCCGGTCCCAGCGCTCGCAACTCTCTGCTCAGCGATGAGTCGGTTGAGTAGCCGTCCTCCGGCATACCAGGGGCCTCCACTTCCTCCGCAAGTACCTGCTCAGCTGGGTTGCCGGCAGGGCTTCCCTTGGAACTGGAGTCCCCTTTGTATATCTTAATGTGTATGGCGCTGAAGCCATAATTGAGCACTCCCCGAGCAGCCTCTATGGGAGCGACCGACTCCTTGTTTAGCACCACGATCGCCTGATTTACATCACCTGCATGCTCCTCCACCTTTACGACTTTCCAGTCTTTTGTGGGGAGATGTGGGTTGCACTCTTGCAACATATAGAGGATATCCTCCGGTGATTTGATAGCTGCTGGGAGCCAAATTCTAGCTCGGGGTCTACTGGGGACGTCACACCAATCTAGTGCGACTATGTTCGCCCCATCGTAGACTTCACCTAGCTGCGCTGTCGCCTGCTTGTATAGATCAGCTGATCGCTGATTGTCGCAGGCAACCACCTTTACACTGCCCTGGTACCAGCCCGCGTCCATGCAGCAAGGCGATGAACCGGGCTTCTCGCGCACCATACGCAGGCATATGAGAGACAGCTGGGACTCAACCGCCTTCCATTTGTTTTTGGGGATCCTGTTCTCCGGATTTCCCCTGTCAATGAGTCCCAGAAGGACCCGATCTTTAGTGATCTCGGCAAAGGAGACCGACGGCTGGATCTTCGATCTCTTCGCCGACGGACCAGGCAGCTCTACGGAGCGTTGCCTCTTCACCTGGGCACCTTCCTGTTGGGTGTTTCCTTGCCCATAGTTTGGGAACACCGTCCTGGCCCACTCAACCTTCTTCAGCCATTCGGGCGAAGGCGTGGCGACTTTGCTTCTGGCATGTGAACGCAGGGTTTGGGCGGCCGTCCGTCTCTCTGCGTATGTAAATTTCTGAACACCAGCGGTCGACCCGATCGACTTTGCTGCGTCTACCGCTGGTTTAGGCGCAGATGCGCGCATAGCGGAGGCGTTTGCGACAGTCTTTCTGTCTCCCATCACCCCTTGTTTGGGATGAGGCCCTTTCTGAGCCTTACTGGTGTTTGCAACGGAGCCAACGTTCGTCATTGCAGTATTGGGTTTGTTGAGAGTACCCGTCTCTGATTTATTGTTATTTTTATTTAATGATTCCATATTTGGTCCCACGAGCTGCGGAGAAGGGGAAAGGTCCGCCCGGGCAGAGATCCGCGGTACCCGGGTAAGGCGGTAGGTAGAACAGGGGGTCGCCATCTCCCTGAGCCCACCGTTTGAGACTGGGCTAGTTTTTGATCCGGGCCCCCAGCCAGGCTGACTCTTGGCACGGTCCGAATTACACCGTAGTCCGGCCCGGAGTGAGATGTTGTTAGGGAGAGGAAGTGGGTAGGCAGTGTGTGAGGGATATTTAGGTTTGTGTAAAGCAACTGTTTAGATGCGGCTGAACAAATCGCATCGTCGGTACTGCTTCGTTGCAAGATACCCGCTGGTTGTCCGGGACCGCTTATTTGCTGGGGTTTCTGTCCACGATTCCGTGCTTGACTTCTACCACCAGCTTATTCACAGTTGGCCTCGATTGAGGTCGTCCGCTATCCGCAACCTAGTGGTATATCCATATATCTACTTGATTTATTTTCTTGTTGGGGAGAAAAAATAAAAGTTCCAAAAAAATATATCATCCGCATACCACTGCAACGTATTTTTTGTTTGGTCTCCGAATAATTTAAAAAAAAAACAAGAAAGGAAGCTAGCTTCGTCCAGCCGAAGCTTATATACCCTTGCAGATCATTCCTATTAATTAACAAATTGCAAAAATGTTAAATTTTCTAATATTTCTCATTAATTTTCCGATCGTTCCTATGCCAGCTATATGATATAGTCGTCCGATTTTGATCAAATTAAAATTGAAATTCGGAAATATTTAAAAAGAGTCATATCCTAGAGTAGAAGATAATACAATAAAAAGCAAATAAGCTAGAATTTATTTCCTATTACTCTTCCATTAATTTATCGATCGTTCCTATGGCAGCTATATGATATAGTAGTCCGATTTTTTAAATATTTAATTCGAAATTCAGAAATATTTAAAAAATAACATCCCCAAAAGTAGAAGGTAATATTTCAAAAAACACCGAAGCTAGAATTTTTTTAACGTTTTCTTTTCCGATCCTTCCTATGGGAGCTATAAGATATAGTTGTCCGATCCGGTTGGTTCCGACATATATACTACCTGCAATAGAAAGAAGACTTTTGGGAAAGTTTCATTCCGATAGCTCAAAAACTGAGAGACTAGTTTGCGTAGAAACAGACAGACGGACAGACGGACAGACGGACAGACGGACGGACAGACGGACAGACGGACATGGCTAGTTCGACTCGCCTAGTGATGCTGATCAAGAATATATATACTTTATGGGGTCGGAAACGTCTCCTTCACTGCGTTGCAAACTTCTGACTGAAATCATAATACCCTCTGCAAGGGTATAAAAATAAAGAAGAATACTAACGATATCTAATCCCATCCTAATTCGGCCAGCCACCCCTCATAAAATACTAATCGAAAAATACTTCATCAAGAACAGTATTTTTTCAGTATTTTATTTTTAGTATTTTTGGTATTTTTTGCGATTCTTGTTCCATCGTTCCACCAAAAGCCTGGGGATTATTTTTACAATAATTCAGCCACGCATATCGACTGTTTTAGCAGGTCGAGACCCTATTTCCACCAGTCCGTAATTTCTTTTCTGATTTTTGTCCGAAAGATCAGCGCGCACATTCCGAATCAAAACAGCATCCTAGTTTGGTATGTCCAGGGAAAGTTCTAACAAACTATCCCCTGTTTCATCACCGAAAGTTCCGAAAATCATTATAAGGACGCCCACACCTACAAAAGTCAAGACGCCAATTACCAAAAGGGCTCCTTCTCCTATCGAAAGATCCACGCGAGCCAGCACGAAAATGGTTGCAACGGCTGCCGAACTCGCCCTAAACCAATTTATTGAAGTCTCGGATCGACTTTCCGAATTGGAGGCGCGAATAAATATTCCCGCGGCGGTCCCTCCTACGTTGTCCGTCCTCAATATTCGCCGAGACGAAATCAAAGAGGTATGGGTCCGCATCAAAAAAGAGTACGATGCGTGTACCGCGTGCCTTGTAGCAGCCGGAGAAAGTGCAGTTGACATGTTGCCAGTTCTCAAGGCTAAGTACGGTTACTGCTACAGCGCGTACGAAAAGTGCGGGGCCCAAATAGCAGACCAAATAGCGCAGACTCCGCAAAATCCGCAAGCTACCTCCACTCCAGATACTCCTCAGACTTACATTCCGTCAGGCTGCCACCTTCCGCCGTGCGATACCGAGGTTTTTACCGGCGATTATCTTCGTTGGCCAACCTTCAGGGATCTATTCACGGCAATTTATATCAACAATCCTCGACTCACTCCTGTCGAGAAATTATTTCATCTCAATGCTAAGACGAGGGGCGACGCTCACAATATAGTTGCAAATTCACCCCTTACTAACGATGGCTTTCGCTCAGCGTGGGATAACCTCACTGAGCGTTTCGAAAACAAGCGATTGTTAGTAAACAGTCAATTGAAGATACTCTTCAATGTGCCGTCCGTCACAAAGGAGTCTGGGTCAGCTTTGAAAGAACTTCAAAGTACCATCCAGGGGTGCCTTACGGCGTTAGAAATGTCCGGTATTCAGGTCGAAACTTGGGATTGCCTCTTGGTGTATATGTGCTCATCCAAACTCCCAAAGCTTACGCTTTCCCTATGGGAGCAGTCCCTTCACAACAAAGCCGAGATCCCTACGTGGCATGAGCTGAACGTTTTCCTAACGGAACGTCACAGAACCCTAGAAGCCATAGATGATGTTCGACCATCAGGTTCTAGTCAGGCTCAGCCCAGGGCATCCACATCCAACTCGGCGTCTCGGAGAATAAATTCTTATGAGACAAGGGTAACGCCTCGACAACCTAGAGGGTGCGATCTCTGTAATAGAGAAAACCATCCAATACGCACATGCGCCCAGTTTCTCCGGATGACGGTCGACCAACGGATCGCCTATATCAAACGAAAACAGCTGTGTATGAACTGCTTTGCGCGGACACACCAGCTGCGCGACTGCGAAAGCGCACATAATTGCTTCACGTTCCGCGGCCGCCATCTCACCCTCCTACACCGAGGCACCCCATCCCCAGCGCGCGCAAATCCAACGCCAACGGCCAGATCCAGACCGAATACTCCCGGTCCCTCGGCTGCCAGTGGCACGCAGCCAACACTTCAAAATTATATTGCGGCAGGCTCTAGGTCAGTCCTCCTAGGCACCGCCATGATTAATATATGCCATCAGGGTTCCAACTATGAAGCGCGAGCCTTAATAGACTCCGGATCTGAGGCGACCTTCATTACTGAGCGCCTTTTCAACCTGATTAAGCTGCCGTTCCAGGTTATCCAAGCACAGGTCTCAGGGCTTAATCAAACGGTCTCCGCTGAGACTAAAAAGCTCTGCCAATTGACGATTCGTTCTCCGACTTGGCCTAGTTTGCAGTTAAACACCACTGCCTACGTGCTTCCGCAAATAGCCGGAAATCTTCCCTCATGTCCGCTTCCGCAACATTTCCTGCGAGATCTTCCCGAACTTCCACTAGCGGATCCAAAGTTTTATGAGAGCGCACAAATAGATCTTTTAATCGGGGCCGATATACTTCCTTCCATTCTACTAAGCGGCACCCGAGCGAATATCTGTGGCTCTCTTCTCGGTCAAGAGACCATTTTCGGCTGGATTCTAACAGGACCAGTACCCGCTCCGAGGCAAGATAGAATTTCATCGTTTTCTACGCATGTTGCACACACGTACGAAGCATCTCTCGATAAACTCCTCACCAAATTCTGGGAGGTGGAGGATCTGCCAGTAAAGGTGGCAAAAGAATCCGACGTGATCTGTGAGGATAATTTCCTTCGGACCACCACAAAAGACGATACCGGCAGGTATGTCGTGAGTCTTCCCTTTCGAGATCCTGAGAACATGAAATGCTCCCTAGGACATTCCAGATCCCTGGCGTTGGCTCAATTCTTAAGAAACGAGCAGCGGCTAAAAAGGGACAGTACGCTAAAATCCAAGTACGACTCAGTAATTCAAGAATATCTCGACCTCAACCACATGAGAGAAGTCCCTCCTACCGACGATTCAGCGTGTTATTACCTCCCACACCACGCGATGTTAAAACCGGAGAGTACGACCACCAAGCTTCGAGTGGTATTCAATGCCTCCAGCCCTTCAGACAATAGGGTCAGCTTAAATGATATCCTTCATGCTGGCCCGGTCCTACAGTCCGATCTAACCATCCAGATCCTGAAGTGGCGATATTTCCGTTTTGTGTACAGTGCTGATATCGAGAAAATGTACCGGCAGATCTGGGTAGATCCGAAGCAGACAGCGTTCCAACGTATCTTATTCCGCAATAGAGAAGGATACATTCGCGATTTTGAGCTAAAAACTGTTACGTTTGGGGTCAATTGTGCACCGTTTCTGGCAATTCGGGTCCTGCAACAGCTGGCGACCGACGTGCAACTAACCCATCCGAGGGCGAGTAAAGTTATTCGTGGTTGCATGTACGTCGATGATGTCCTTTCGGGAGCTGACTCTGCAGAAGAGGCTCACCTTACCATTCGCGAGTTGCAGAGTGCTCTCGATTCGGCTGGTTTTCCATTAAGAAAGTGGACCTCCAACCATAAAGAAGTTCTGGCTCATATCGAGACCAATCATCTTTTAAACGCCGAGTTCCTCGAGATAGATACGGAAAGCACGGCGAAAACTCTCGGAGTCCGTTGGAAAGCAACATCCGATGAGTTTTTCTTCGCCCCTCCAGACCTATCCAACGAAGCCACGCTCACGAAACGTCATGTTCTTTCCCAAATCGCCAAGCTGTTTGATCCAGCAGGCTGGCTCGCTCCTTTCGTGGTCTGTGCCAAGATTTTCATGCAGGAGATCTGGCTTCATGATCTTGGGTGGGATGATGAACTCCCAATTGAACTGTGCCAAAAGTGGCGTGATTTTCTCCAAAGCTACTCGGTCCTAGATCAAGTCCGAATTCCCAGATGGGTG